ATGCTTCCTACAAGAATAAAAGTGCCAGAGTTAGAACAATTCCAGTAAGACAGTTCCTAAATGAAACCAAAGTGAAAGATATGCAGATAAGTTATCATGTTTAGCCAACCAGCCCACTAGAAGGTGTCTCACCATTAAGAACTAATCTAGATTAGAGTGTTTGGCAAATCCATTCCTAGTAGTTTATCCAATCAATAGAGTAAATGTACTTACGGACTGATGGGGGTTAGTAGAGTCTGACAACCATCTACTAGATCTCCAGTCAATGAGTATGTACTAACGATTACAGGGGAGAACCTGAAAGCTTTGAAGAAGCTATTGGAATGAACACAAGAGGAGATGGATTGAAGCCATGCAATATGAAATGAAGTCCTTACATGAGGATAAAACATTTGAGCTGGTGAAGTTGCCTAAAGGCAAGAAAGCTTTGAAGAATAAGTGGTTGTCCAGGATCAAGCAGGAAGAACACAGCTCCCAACCACAATTCAAAGCTAGATTGGTTGTGAAAGGATTCAATCAAAGAAATGGTATTGATTTGATCTTTTCACCAGTTGTGAAAATGATATCCATTCGAATAGTGCTCGGAATGGCTGCCAGTTTTGAACTGGAAATCGAGCAAATGGATGGAAAAACTACCTTCCTACATGGAGATTTGGAAGAAGAAATATACATGGAGCGAAGAAAGCTTTTATACACATAATGGAGCAGCCAGATTGTGGTTTTGTTAGAAACAGAGAAGGATTTGTTTGTTTGCATAACTGGGAGTAAGAGCTTGTACGGTCTTGAAGTAGCACTGAGACAGTGGTTACAAGAAGTTCTGAGTTCTTGTTAATGCGGCGGAAGCCTATGGAAATTCAGATAGACTTACTTCAGATCTACTGTCGTTTTCTATATTTGAGAAGAAACTATTCTACTGTCTATGAACAGCTATTACATGTGTCTTCTTGCTCGAGTGATGTGAGTGAGCTTGGATTGCTTTTGTGTCCAAAATTTAGATAAGTCGATTGCTGTGGGAGAGACTTTCGGACCAGCAAAGCTAATGATCTCCATTATGATCATGAGATCGGAAGAGACCAACATAATATTATGGTTGTCACATGAGAAGCTACATTTGAGAAAGTACCTTCAAAAGAGGTTTAGAAGTCGGAGAATGCCTAAATGCGATTAGATACTTGTCCAGAAGAAACAGCTAAGTAAGTCTTTTGCCATGAAAGACTTGGGACCAGCAAAGCAAATTCTTGGCATGAAGATCGAAGAGCCAAGAAATTATGGTTGTTATAGGAGAAGTACGTTGAGAAAGTACTTTAAAGGTTTAGAATGGAAAATGCTAAAGCGGTTAGTTGTCCTCTTATTAATCACTTTAAATTGAGTTTTAAACAGTGCCCTTCTACGGATGGAGAGAAGGAAGAAATGAAAAGATCATGTATGCTTCAGCAGTTGGAAGCTTGATGTATGCCATGGTTTGTACACGACCAGATATTGCTTATTCAGTCGGAGTAGTGAGTAGGTTTCTTTCAAATCCGGAAAAGGAACATTGGACTGCAGTGAAATAGATTTTCAGGATATCCAATCACAGTTGCAGGGGGAGCCGTGTCGTGGCAGTCAAGATTATTGAAACGTGCAGGCAGTTGTTGTGGATGAAGAAATTCTTGATTGAACTCGGAATTCATCAAGAACGGTATCAGATATTTTGTCACAGTCACACTATTGTTTAGCTGCAGGGATGATGGAGAGTATGGATAACGTCCCCACTTGAGTGTGCAGGGGGAGATTTGTTGTGCGGTACCCACTCAAGTGGGACCCACAATAAATTTGAAAAGAAAAAAAAATAAACACACGTTTTTTAGAAGGAATCAAAGGTTGGCAGCCAAACTATGACTTAAATGGAGAAGCCGTGTGTAACTCACACACGGCTCTCACATCACCTCTCCTATAAATAATAATAGGAGAGTGGGCTACAGAAGCTCATACTCACTCACACGCAGAAAGGAAACAACATGTAGTGTGCGAACTAGCAGTTCTTAGTTTTTAGGACATGGGTTTCCTTAAAATTAGAAGGGAGAAAAAATAGTGAGAAATTATTATAGAGTTTTTTGGTAAAACACTTTAAGTCCACTATTTTTGTATTACTCTCTTTGATGTACTACTATTTGAGTAGGAAGAATGATTTGGGCAGTTGTGGTGCCCACCGTGAGACGTTAGTCGCTCAAACAAGATTGAGGGTGAACCATTGTAATTTCTGTGTGTCAATCACAAGTTTAGCTTTTCGCTTTGCTTTTAATTTTCTTCTTAATTGCGTTGAAAGGGCCCTTACGAGTGGTATCAGTCGCTTGCATGCCAACAACTGTGTATCAGCACTGTATTTTTTACGTAAAACACCAAAATAGCATACTCATAGCCATAGATTTAGAGAGAACCCTCTCTGTGTGTCACAAGTTTACTATTTCGCTGTGTTAATTTTCTCTTAATTGGTTGAAAGGGCCCAACGAGTGGTATCAGAGCTGATGCCCAACAACTGGTATCAGAGCTGATTCGTAACACCAAATAGCATACTCCATAGCCATAGAGGAACCTCCAGAAGTGAGAAATCCAATTGTTGGAATTTGAAATTTCTTGAAGATTTCATTAGTCTAACTCATAATGTCAACAGTAGCACAAATTGGCAGGGTTGAATCCATATTTTTCAGATTGGATCAAGAGGAGATTTTGAATGCCTTAGGCCATGTGTATGGTAGTTAATGTATTGAGAGATTTTCAATACTGTGGTCAAATGATTTCTTCCAAATCAAATGATTTTTGTGATTTTATGAAGGCAAAAGAAAATCAGCAAATTTTAGGAAAATGAATGAATTTTACTCCGAGACCACGAATACTTTTGCCTCAACTAAACGGTGAACAATATCCATACTTCCTTATTGAATCTCCATTTTAGTTTCAGACAGTAAAATGAATGTTTTTCTGCTATTTTTATCTTATTTTTCTGATATTTTATAGAAAGGTTGTGTTCCTCTGTTTAATTTAATTTTTAGTTGAAATACGTATCTCCATAATTTGCGTTGGGTTATTGCAGGTGTGGATCCTAAAAATGAAAATAAATGAATAATAGTGTGATGAGCTCATAACATGGGTATTTTAGTTTTTTTATACAAAAATATCGGAAAAATTAATGTTTTATGGACAAAAGAGCTATATAGTCAAACAGAAGCAAACGTTAGGGATGTTATAATCATTTTACCAAATTACAGGATGAAGTGATTAATTATATCAAATTTCAAGGACTAAATAATTATCAATGTTTTATGGATAGAAGGGCTATATAGTCAAAGAGAAACAAATGTTAGGGATGTTATAATCATTTTACCAAATTACACGACGAAGTGATTAATTATATCAAACATCAGGGACTAAATAATTATCGACGTTTTATGGATAGAAGGGCTATATAGTCAAACAGAAACAAACGTTAGGGATGTTATAATCATTTTACCAAATTACAGGACAAAGTGATTAATTATATCAAACCTAAAGGACTAAATAATTATTTTCCCTTTAAATAATGCTCACTTTGTTGTAATATACAATTTACCTAAAATAGAAAAATCAATAATAGAAAATATTTTCTTAATTAAGAAGATATTAACTCATTTTAAAAAACAGTTACTTCTCATGTTCGAAAGAAGCAAACATTTTTCAAACTTTAATAAATTTATTATAACATTACAAATATATTTTATTACGATAGTTACCGCCACCTATCACCACTGACTACCATCGACCACTAATACACATCGGCAATTATTACAATTTATTATTTTCTATATATTTTTTCTTTTATTTAAAAATAAAATTTTAAAAAATGACACATCAAAAGGCAATTGATAATACAATTTATTATTGTTCTTACTTATATTTTTTCTTTTTATTTAAAAATAAAATTTTATAAATAATATAATTATAATTATAAATATTTTTATTTAAGTAAAACCAAAAAAATAATAATTTAATATTACAATAAAAAAAAAATAAAAAATGTTTTAAGGAAAACTTTTTTCTTAAAAAAATATTTTTTCAAAAAATAAATTATTTTTCGGAAAAATGAAAACTTTAAGCTTTTGCCACTTGCACCAAATGACTATAAAGTTCAGTTTTACCCAAAAATAAAATAAAACAAATTTCACATTTATTATGAATGAAAATCCTAATGATAAAGATCGCATAACTAAAATTGAACATTTTGACTCCAAATTTAAGGTAAAATCGAATTTTTTTTTTGTTGAATATAGAATATTTTAAAATTAATTTTTAATATTACAAAAAAAAAAGAAGATATTTGAAATATATGTTTTAAGGAAAACTTTTTCTTAAAAAATATTTTTCAAAAATAAATTATTTTTCGGAAAAATGAAACCTTAAGCTTTGCACTTGCACCAAATGACTATAAAGCTTCAGTTTTACCAAAAATAAAATAAAACAAATTTTCACATTTTTATATAATAAAATTCCTAGTTAAAATATAAAGTCTATTTATGGATAAATTGACATTTGACTCAAATTCTAAGGATAAAATGAATTTTTTTTTTTTAGAAAATAGAAAGTAGTGTCTTGAATGATAGCTTTAAAATTATTTATGATTTTCTCAATTTTCCTAGTATGATAAAAAAAATTAAGAGAGAAAAAACAGGCAGCAACTTAGCAATACCAATTTCATTTGTATAAACTCTCAATAATTAAAAACATTCATTTGGATAATATATACTTACATCTAACTCACTAGAAAATATCAAAAGAAAGAGGACGGTCAAAGAAAAAACTCTGGTAATATAGATTCCATTATCATAATTTTGAAAATACCACTAATATTCTATTGTAATTACAAGAATATCCCTCTCTTCAACATTTTTTTGGCGGGAAAGTTCGTTACGCGTTAGTTACCCTTTTTTTTGTTTCTCTGTTTCCTCTTTTAATGATCCAAAACCAAAACAAACTAAGAAGTCACTGAAAACCAAAATCAAGAAATCTCCATTCTCCCTCTTTTCTCTCTAATGGCTCATTATCTGCTCTTTCTTCTTCTCTTCACCGTTTTCTTCCTTAACACAGCCATGACCCTCACTCCCATACCTTCACCCGCCGTTACTCCCAACTTAAATATCTACAGTACCACCGCAAAACACGCTCCCTCACCTTCACCGATCCCTACTTCCACAAGATCTTCAAACACCACAACCACTACCACCGCAACACTCGCTCCCTCACCGTCACCAACCCCTGCTTCCACAAGATCTCCAAATACCACAACCACTACCACCGCAACACTCGCTTCCTCACCTTCACCGACCCCTACTTCTGCAAGATCTCTAAACACCACTGCCGCCCCAATTCTTGTTCCTAAACCTTCGCCAGCTCCTACTCGCACCGTAACTCCTAACTCCACCTCCACTACCGCTGCAATTTGCTCTCCCGCCCCTTCACCAGCTTTTACTCCCAACGGCACCACCTCCGCCGCCACGACCACCATCACCACCGTCATCACTGCACCACCGCCGCCACGGCATATACACCATGGCTACCGCCAACAACTCAACAACATAATCGATGCCCTAATTGGTGCCGGAGACTTCAACATTTGGGCCAACGTCCTTTCGGTGGCAGATCCCTCGACTCTCCCTATCTCCGCCACTCTCTTTATTCCCGCAGATGATTCTCGTTCACCTATCGCCACCACTATCACTATTGATCCTTACATATTCCCTTACCATATTGTCCCTCAACGCCTCTCCTTCGTCGATCTTGGTCAATTCAAGCTTTATTCTCGCCTTCCAACGCTTCTTCCCGGCAAATCCATACTCGTAACTAATAGTTCCATTTCTAACTATACTCTTGACGGTTCTCTTGTTTCTCATCCTGATCTCTACACCAATGCAAACATCGCCGTTCATGGAATCGCCACTCTGCTAGATTACTCTGTTTATGGCGACGCTTACACTAAAGTTCCACAGCCGGAAGTGTTGTCTCGGCCACCGCAAGCAATGTTTGTGCCGGAAGGTGACTTGATTGGCGATCACCGATCAGAGACAAATTCGGCTTGCTTGTGCAGTGAGGTTTGGACTGTTTTCTGGATCTTTTCTGCTGTTTTAGCATCAAAGGTTCAAAGATTTAGTCTTTTTAGCCATTGATCGTGTTTTCCATTGATTTTAAACATAATAATAGAAGGCAGAGATGATGATTTTGAAGATCAATCTTGGATTAAGGCATTTTGTTTCTTTTGGTGACCCTTTTGGAGTTTTGATGTCTCTTTGTGAATATTTTTGGTTCAATTGGGTCATTTTTTCAATTTCAGACAAATTTGTATCGGGTTCCTTTTCTTTGATGTCAAAATTCAGGAGACAGGGATTTGATTGTTATTGTTGTAAATGGGTTTGATAGAAGTTGAAAGATTTGATTGTATCATACTGTGGAAGGCTGAGATTGTTTTGAATTCTGAATGATATTTTTCAGGGTTCTTTTTGGAACCAATATTCTGATATATGTTCTTTGTTATCTAATGCATCTTGCTTAGAATCAACGAATATATGATCTCAATTGAATGAAATTCTATTTGGAACTGATTTTCTTGCTATGTACACATCCATGATCCATAAAATAGTGGGAGAAAAGAAAAGAGAGAAAAATTAGAGCTGAATCAAATCAATAAATGAACTCTGCAAGGAAACTAACATATATTTTCATAAATGTCAGTAAAAAAATTTCCTAATGTACAAATCTATCCTTTCTATGATCATTAGTGAATCAAGATCCTATAGCCTATGTAATGTGCGGGCACATTGCAAATTTTTATTTACAACTCATGCCCAGGATCAATGTCCTCTTACGAATCTTTGAAAGAATGGGCCTAATAAATGAGAAAATTTAGCATAGCTACCCTGAAAGAGAAAAGATTGATGGGAACAAAATAATGCAGCCCTAGGGTAAGAAAGAATGGTAGGATCTAATGTTATCTTTTGTTATCTACTTGTTTTGTGGATCTCCTCCATCAATGTTGTGAATGCAACTTTCCACTCCGCACTCTGTGCCTCACTGCAGAATATCCTATGCATTATTTTTAACTCTTCGGGATTTGCTTTCTTGAGCAGTCCTCGAAGCACTTGCTGCACTTCTTCACCTGAATGGTGACTCCCTATAGCTAGATTAGCTGGATCCTTATTAGTCATCACATTATTGCTGATTTCTGCCTCTGATTCCTTGAGATTGCATCTTAGTCCAGATGCCGACTTCTTGGCTTCACTCCTTGTACTTGAATTCATCTGCCTATTATTCCAGTAGTCTGCACACTGATGATTTGGATCAAGAGCCTCAATAGCCTGAAAAAGATTATTTGGAGCCAAATTTAGAATTTGGATCCTATAATTCATAAAAAGTGCATGGCAATACACCACCTAATATGCTGCAAGCTCAAAATGTATGATTTATCAAATGGTCATGCATGGTTCATGCAGCTTTAAGTGTGCGAGTAGATGAAACTTGCATTCAGTTATCTGTGTTTGTGTGTGCCGACACTCATGTGCATTGCTGCGTGAATGAGAGAGACAGAGAGAAAAGAAGGGTACCTAGAGCAAAAATTCTGTAGATAGGTTCTGAAACAATTGAAAACAAACATCGGTGGGGAGGAATTAACAGATGACTATAGTTTTAATCCTCTAGTTCTTGATCAAGTTTGGCATGTGTGCAATTTGGAAAAAGGGACAGAATATGTACTTTCAGCTTGAATAGACCAAGATACAAGTAAAGATGATGTATGAGAGGAAATTAGTTGTTTTTGCATTTTTCTTTTAGCAAGCTAATAATTTTCTGAAATTTACCTTAAATTCATAGATAATCTCTAAATAACTTAGAAGTTAATGGGATAAAACATATATGATTTTTGGGAATGTAGTTAATTCGAAGATCATTTTGAGAGTAAAATTAATTCCACATGGTTATATATGGTCTATACAATCAAAAAGTTTCATGTGACCTCAGTGTTTGTGTGTATACAAAAATATAAAAATGTGGATGTGACTGTTTCAAATGTCTCTACAACAAAAGCACTATGTCATTTTAAGAGTACAAATAACTGAGGTAGCTTTACCTGGACAATGGGTAAAGAGAAAAACCCAAACATTTCAAGGCCACTAATGCACTGGAAAGGCTGCAAAGGAGGCAGACCTCTTTCTCCTAGGATATTCCGTCGCATAATTTCCTCATTCAGCCGACGCAGCACCATTTCCCAGCACTTATCTGCTGAAACATTGGCAAATGTTTCACTGGGGCATTCTTCTAAAGATACCTGAAATTTGGAGCACCATTTGGCAAGTCAGGTCATCGTTACAAATCTAACCATTTAAGCATCAGCCTTCTCATGAATGATAAACAGCATACAGCACTAACCCATTATATATGAATGCAAACCCAACTCAAACCCAAAATCAAGGCGAATACTGACAAACAACAACATAGTCTCAAAAGAAAACAGAGTGCTTTGATTCAATCAAGCTGATTGAACTTGTTCACAACTCTGTTTACTAAGGCCTCGTTAAGCTCCTTTATCAACTTAACCAACCTTAGCTCAAAATATGGCTATGTTAAGAAAGCCGCATAATTATTTTTTTATTTATAAATTGTATAACTTCATTGATAATTGCCTGTCTTTTGTCATTTCCATTGTTCATTTATCAATTCAATTGTTTTTCTGAATGATTTGAGTATGAAAGAATTCTGAGCACCATATTCAACAGTTGGCAAATCAAACAAGCATCATAAAATCATCAGCAGTACAGAAAAATCAAGCATGTATGCATGCAGTGGTAGTTAGAGCCCCTGAACTGATCTCAAATAGTATAGAGATTTAGTCAGAGACCAGGATTGCATAGTTGAAGACTCAAAGCCTGCCGAGCCATTTACAGCCTATAAAGAAAATCATGCTATATTATGGAGGTGTAGAGAAAAACACACCTTAAAAAGAGGGCCAAAGAACCCGGCATCCACTATTTCTGAAATATAGTTGCAAATTTTGCTCGGATCTAGCACACTGAAGAATTTAACTCGGCTTTTAAACCCTGTAACATCAACCAAATTATAAACAATATGTAGAAAGAAAAAGCAAAGGTTAAAGAAAAATTCAATCAAGTAAACATCACACAGCAATATACTTTTTGGGAATATAGCCAGGCTACTGCACCAAAGCTTTCCAAAAATGACAGATCCAAAATTTAGAGGTTCAACAGAAGTGCCCAAAATCTTCCCTGAATTGCTTCGTTCAGCTACAGATGGTTTAACATACGAAATGTTGACAGTGTTGGTTTTGCAGAATCTTTCTGATGGCGTCATTGCGTGTGAATGTGGAAATGAAAGATCAACGCCAAACAACTTATTGGCACAATTATCCCCAACAAGTGTTTGATCGGACATGTAATCTTTGTTTGAAAATTCAAGCAATTCCAATGAGTTACAATCACTACCAACTCTTGATGTATCTTGTTCTTTTTCTGTGTCTGGATTGCTAACTTTCTCTTTCTTACCTGCTGACATATTTGTCTCCACATCTGAGATAACTTTACTATTGGAGCTACTGGGTGCACGGAGAAATTCACTTCCATGATCAACAGATGTAAAGTCAAGATTTAAATCAATGCAACAGTCTTGCTTCAACTTATCTTCACTCTTCAGAATCATAGCTTCAGTATTAGAGATATTATCATGGCCATCAGACTCGATTACTTCTGAAGAACCTTGACTATTTGAACTAGAGACATTTGTGTCTGATATTTCTTCTGCTCTTGGGGAGCAAGATGGACTTTTCCTCTTCTTAGAAGAGCCAGTTTGGAGTGACTCGCCCTTCTGATCTAGTTGACATACATTAGCACCATTGTCACCATCAGAATCCAAGCTAAATTCTTTAGATGCCCATTCCTTTATAGCATCTAATTTTCCCTCCAGTGATTCTACTAGTGTGTTTAATTCATCCAGAGTGTAACGGAGAAGGACATATCTGTCATCTATTTCACATGAACAAAAATGGTTTGCATGTTTAAGACACGCAAATCTTTCTGGAGAGCACTTGCAACTTGCAGCAGAAAGGTGCAAGTCATAGAAGCAAGCAAAACATTCTCTCTCGCTAACCAAATCAAATTCTTTTTCCATCTTTTGCAATTTTAAATTGCTAGGAAGATGCTGTAATCTTTCCTCCTCCATCTGGACTCTTGTCTGTTAAAAATAATCAAGTTAAGAAAATAATTCCACTAACTAGTGCTTGATTAAACTTTTGAAGAGAACAATTGACTGCATTTCTGTGCATTTTGGGGAGAAATAGAGATAGAGTACCTTCACAGCCTGGGTAAGCAGTCCATCCTTTCCACAGACGCTTCTCCACTGCAAATTTGCAGGATTTTCCTTCCTGAGAAGTAGTAACTCCCAAAGGGCCTGCACTGCTTTCTGAGCTGATCCCAGCAGTAGCCTGTCATGGGATATGGATGTCTTACGATGTTGCTTACTGTAGAGTTCAACTGCATGCTGCCCATGTGCTAACCAATCAACAGGGGCAACATTCACTGCTTCGGCACAGTTGAAGCCGCAATTAAAGCCAGAGTGGTATGCTCTAGGAAAGGTAAGAACAAACTCCCCAGAGTGCTGGACAATTCGGTAAATGGGTACACCCTCAGCTTTTAGAACTGAAGGAGATAACTGAGTTACCTGCAAGAAGATAAAACCAATAATTAATCCAAAAGCAAGGTTGACATCAACATAAAATGTTAGAAGACCTAATGTTTTCAAAAATATGGGACAAGCACATAAAGGAAGACCAGTGACGATTGAAACAATAATGAAGATGGAGATTCAACACCATCAAACACATCCATTTGCAAAGCAAAATAAAATATCAAGAGTAGGAACACATATTGCTTCTCTTTTTCCCTCTTTTAATATTCCTCTTCCTATTCCCTTCAACTAGAGCTCCAATACCAATAACTGCTGGGGTAATAGTTGACACAGAAGAAATATTCAAGTTCGCTTCTTAAGGGACACAAACAAATATAGAGCATGCAAAAAATGGACAATAGTGAGCATCATATTTGAGATAATGAATAATGTTATCTAATTGACTATAATAAATTACCAGAGAGTCTAACAAAGTTGAAAGTGCATAACTTTTCCAGCCACACGTTCTTTCTGGAGCTTCCAATTTTCGTAAGAAAATTGAAAACGGTCCAATTATATTATAAATTTAATAAATATTTTTTGTTTAAAAGGACAGTAAAAAACTAAAGCAATCAGCTTCTTACCAGTTCATGGAGTAAATCAGGTTGTTCTTCAAACAAATCCGGTAAATGCTTTCTCATTACCTTCTCCAAATTGGAAGCATGGGTTCCAGGTATTCCATACCATATCTTTGGATCACCAAAATGTAAATAGTTTAGGGAATATAAGTGGTGGTCTTCAACATGCTGTCCAAAACCAATTCAAAAGGTATCAATAAACTATGGACTCAGCGAATTTCAGGAAATGAAAGTCTAATTCAGAGGTTATTAAAAGGAAATAAAACAGTCAACTATTTATACAAGTGTTTCACTTTATAAATTATGAATAGAAGAAAGTACTATGAAAAGGCTAATAGGAACAAGAAAACTATATCTGGTCCAAAGGAATTATGATATAATTAAGAAAAAAAAAATGAAGTCCTAAATGCAGTATTGTGTACCTAATTTATTTTTGAAAAAAGTTCGATCAAGATCTTCATGTGGAAAATTATTTTTGACCATCTTGATACTTTAAGAGATTTTTATGCTGTCTTTTATATGAAACTAGAAGCAATCTGTTGTCTATTTAGAGAAATTTCTTAAATTTGCCAGCTCCATTTAAATTATTGTTTGCCTTATCTGATCTACAGAAGATCTCTTGGTTGGTCCACAAAATTTTTAAAAATGACGTTAATTAAAAGAAAATTCACTCATTTATCATTTTCAGTAAAATTAAAACTCAATATAGTACTTAGAAAATAATAGTTCCAATGGCCTACCCAACAAAATGATGAGAAGCACATTCCAACATACAGCCATGGCACTAGAACTCCTGAGATGTCATTTTCCTCAAAACATAACACAGAACCTGGCAGGCGTGGGAAGTTGTTTAGATTCCAACCAGACTCAACATACTGATCTGATTCTGAATCACCTTCAATTACCATGGATGAAGCCTTAGGAAACCCACTTCCAAAAGTACCTGTTTCTAAGTCAGCTCCATAGTATACCTGCAAAATAATACAACAGAAACAATGTATATGATATACCATAGATACAACTACAACAAATATGAAAGTTAAATACACATAACAAGAGAAAAGTATATCCATGCCTCAACTTCATCTGTCGATTGCTCAACAATCCGCCAGTATTCACCCTCAATAATCTCCACGGAAGATTCCAATTTCTGGTGTTCAATCCCACCAGACTTCACATCCTCCACAGAATCTGTCATTCCGAAGTATTGCTCCTTGAAATGATCAGCATATTTCTGAAATTCTTCAAGTGTGAAGTCTGAGCCTGATTGGAAGCCAAACTTTTCATCAGTCTCAGAAGCAGCATTTGCTTCTGAACAAGAATTAGCACGCCTCCTGGTCATTCCCCATTTTGAATGTCTTCTCCTTTTCCGTTTCCGGCTTCGAAATTTCTTTTTCATGGGCTCCCTGTTTTGAAGAAGGTCAACTTGCTGAATTCGTGTAGAAAATTTAGCCTGTTCCCATATATTCTTATCCTTAAGACGGCAAGGTGGCCTCCACGAAGGTGGAGGGACAATTCGACATATACCAAATGGCTCTGCTTCTGCACGTATCTTTGATATGAAACCAAGTGTATCCTCAAATTCCTAGACAATGCAACATAAAGAAAATGTCATAAACAGAAAACAAAGAGGGGTAAACTACCACCAATTATAGAACTTTCACAATAAATCTCTGCAATTTGACAAATAAATACCTTGACAGTTGGATAAAACACTGGCGCATCATCAATGTTGGGTCTGCAAGCTTCATCTGGAACCCATCTGGCTGTTACCTGAAACACATCCAGAATAACCACAATTAGAAAAGCATTAGGAGTTAAAATACCAATATCAAAGGAGGAATTTACATAGAAAAAAGAAAAAAAGGAACTCTAGTGCCTGCTTGGCCCTGACCAAAGGCAGCCTAAAGATGAGCAGCGTCTCAGAGGACCTAAAATTAGTCCATTATGTATTCTTAAGTAATCTAAATGGCAAATCATGAGTCTCGGAATAATTCAGTAAACAATTTTGTACTTTGGTTAGCCTAGAGTTTCATGAAGTACTTCTGCAACAATTTTAAGTATTCACAGTAAAAACTCAAAAGTTCACCTCTTAATTATATTTATGTGAGATAGATTTGTCTCCAAATATCATGGAAGACCAATTTCAATAATTTGAATTTTATCACACCCAAACACTTAAAATGCCATTTTAATCCATTACTGAAAGGGTTAAAAGTTCTGGAGCTATCATATCATAAGAGGCACCACTCTTCTGGCATTATTAAGCTATTCTTTTTAACAGAAAACTATTGCACAGCCTACAGAAACAAAATTGGAAATTATATTAACATTCTGTACCTTTCGATTTCGTGGGCTCCCCAAGCCCTCCAGTGTGGTGTCACTTTTTGGAGAAGGCTTAAAAGAATTCCCCTGCAAAGACATCCTTTATTTAGATACCTAAACTATGAAATTCAAATTCAAAAGCTTGGGGTGTTATTCTTTTCAGCATTAACTTGAGCATAAAAATTAATGCATAAAACAACAAGTTATAAGACTAATGCAGGTGGTATTTACAAAGTCAACTTTCTGCTACAAACAATAAGCAAAAGATTCTAATCTGGTAACTGCTAACACGAGTTCTTAAGTTCCAAAAATGTAACATTATAAGAAAGTTACCAATTTCAATAGGCTCAACAAAACTCAACTAACTCGAATAGACCTTTTGTGAAAAAAAAAAAAAAAAAAAAAAAAAAAAAAAAAAAAAAAAAAAAAAAAACATCTTCATCAAATCATAACTAGTCCTGAAGCCCTTTTTCCTATCCCAACATGAACACCCAATTCTACCTCTGAATCTAAAAAGAGAAATTATGTCCCTGAAAACAACAATAATATGCTCAGAAGAATATGGCTTCATTACTGACAGTTTGGGAAAAGAAATTGACATGCAGACAATTATAAATTATTATACCCTAGAAATAGTCAATCTCATCAACCAGATTAGCCTAGAAACATACAAATAAAGGAAGACTGCAAATTTCAGAAAATACAAACAAAAACAGAGTTGAGAATATGTCATACCATTAGAAATTAGAATTAAAACCAAAAGAACAAAAGAATAACAGGGAAACAAAGAGCAGATATCTATATTACAATTAACCAGAAACTAAACTAACCTCCTTGATATGAGATTGTAAATCCGATTTGGACTGTTCCATTGGGTTGTAATAAGAAATTAAGAAAGAAAGGAAACAACTTTTATTGCCCTGCAAGAAAGCCACAACGATCCCTAACCTAATCAAATGCAGAAACCAAAATTCCCAAAATCCAATAATAAAAAAATGCACTTTTTTTTATGGCAACAACACAAACTTAACCTAATAAGAATCTTTTTTTTAATATAAATAGGAAACTTCAATTTTCACTCCTCTCTTTCCCCAGAAAGGAATTCCCTTTCCCTACATGAATTAGGGAAAGAAAAAAAAAAAAAGAATTATTCAAATGTCTGTATATATATAATTATATCTAAACCCAAAATTCCAAACTTCCATAGATTTAATCCAACAAGTCAAAAAGATCATTTAAATTTTTATTTTATTTATTAGAAAACAATGCAAAAAGAAAATCATATTGACCACCTTTAACCTAATTAAGCTGTAAAAATGAAAAATCAAGATAGAATTGACTGGGAAAAGGGGGCAAAAAAAAAAGAACAAAAGGAAGGTGAAATAAACAAATTGAATTGATAGAAAGATTATACATATATAAAATAAAAATAAATTGTTATTTTTATTAAATTTAAAATAATTAAAAGAATGTTGAAATAAAATACCTTGCTCTGATTCGACGGTTGAAAGACGCGTACGGAAAACACTTTGTATTCTTTTTATTTAATATTTATTTTAAAAAATAAATGAGAGAAATTAAAAAATAAATAAATAAAAATAAGAGAAAGAAGTGGGATAAGGACATAGGAAGTTGGTTGGATCTAAGAGTGAAAGAGAGAGAAAAAGTCGTTAAAGAAGGGAAAGAGAAGAAGAACAGAACCCGCCCAAACGCACGCAGTTTTAACGGAAATCAGTGGAACCAAACAATCCAGTGTCGTGAAAACACGCGCGGGATCTAGGCGCGTATTTGTGGATCCTTTTGCAGCTCTTTGATTATTTATTATTATTATTATTTCCAACTAAAAACTGAAAATATGTAATTAAATGATTGGAAAATGGAAATAATTAAAAGGAAAGGTAATAAAAGTTTCAGATATGCAAATATATTGCCTCCATTTCTATTTCTGTTCACTAATCAACCTTCAAGACTCACTTTTTTTTTTTTTTTTTTTTTTCAATACCATCAGAGGATGCTCTGAAAATATTTGACATAATATTTCTAAATCATTAGACCAAATCTGGAAAGGATATTAGTGATTTTATACTATTTAATCGCAACTAATTTGAAATTAAAACTTAGTTGTTATTGTTGGCAGTAGCTCTCATCTAAATAGCTTTTTAAGATAATGTTTAATATTTTTACTATAGTCAAAATACTCGCGCTGTTATATTTAGAATTTAGTGACATAATATTTATATTAATATTTGACCTTAGCTCTTTTCGGTAAAATTAATTGTTTTTACAGTTGTTAGTCGTTCTAATAATTATTAACTATTTTATTAGCATTTCATCAAATGTTAAGATGAGTATAGTTTCATAATTCTTTCCATTTAATTTTATTTATTAATGCAAATGCTATGCCATCGAACATGATAAATAATAGAAATAATCTTTGACCTAATCAAAACACTAAAAAACTATATTAAAAACTATTAGCAAACGGGACTACTGAAATGGATTGTATGCATATACACTACTATTGAAGAATGTGCGTTGTACGTATTGCTTCTAATTACAGGTACTTGTTATCTAATTCAATGTTAACGTTATGTCACGGGCCTAGAGTCTCGCGCAGCACTGCGCCCGTGCGGCGCCCCGGGAGCCCTCCCGCTTGGCTCCGAGGAGCCCTTGCCAACCGGTACCACACTGGTTCTCGCCCTGCCATGGGCTCATCAAGGGAAGCAGCCCAGCTCCCGTACGTTGTACCCAACGGCACAGACCCTGCCTGCACCACAGGGCTTTGGTGGACAGGTAAGTACACTTAGGGTGGAACAACGCACATTAATTCGCCTAAAAGCCCCCCTGTCCCAACCACGAGGTTGAACGCAAACGCTAGGTACGCTCGTTTTCAATGCTGGCCTAACATGTTACAGGAATTTGTCCGTGAAATCCTCCCCACTCAAAATCAGCACTCCTCGTTGCTGAGGAGTCGACTGCCTTTGGACGTCCTTGCTTTCGTCCCCATTTACGGACCCACTTTCTCTTGGCTCTGTCTAGCCAAGCTGCTGCGACTATACATGTTCGGTGCCTGAGGTCTACGCCATTGCTTCGAACACCGCCGATGCCTAAGATCATGCGCCATGCTTCGACATCGGATGGAGGACGATGCCTTAGGACGATGTAGGACTGTGCCATTGCTTCGACATCGCCCGGAGATGTGGTGCTTAGGACTCCGCCATTGCTTCGACACCACAAGGAGACAAGACACAGGGCGGTACCTTTGACTCTTCCCTGGAGTGCGTTTTTAGTCAGTGGACTCCGAAACGTGAAGCAAGTCTGCTCTGATACCACTCTGTCACGGGCCTAGAGTCTCGCGCAGCACTGCGCCCGTGCGGCGCCTTGGGAACCCTCCCGCTTGGCTCCGAGACAAGCCTTGCCATACCGTGCCACACTGGTTTAGCCCTGCCATGGGCTCATCAAGGGAGCGGCCCAGCTCCCGACCAGTTGTGCCCCGCGGCACGTACCCCACCTGCACGCAGGCTTTGCGTGGGGTAAGTACCACTAGGGTGGAACAACGCCTTAATCCGCTAAGCCGCCCCAACCCACGCAAGTTGAAACGCAGCTAGGTACGCTCTTCAATCGGCCCTAACACGGTCACGGGAATTTGCTTTGCGTGGGGTAAGTACCACTAGGGTGGAACAACGCCTTAATCCGCTAAGCCGCCCCAACCCACGCAAGTTGAAACGCAGCTAGGTACGCTCTTCAATGCCGGCCTAACACGGTCACGGAATTTGTCCGTGACAGTTAGCTCGTGAATACTTTCCTAATTATGTGTATGTGCGTATATAGATTTATTACTTGTGTTGCAGGTGCTTTTATAATTTGACAATATTAATTAATGGTCTATGAGCCTCCATCGGACTACTTAATCCCTTCGTCCAATTCATCAAAATTTATCATTAAAATTATGAAAAAGACAAAAATACTCTGACATGATAAAAATACTGAAATAACCTTGTTTATACTAGCTACTCAAAAGAGCAAATAACCCCCCTCTCTCTTCATCTCGATCTCTTTCTCCTTAGCTGTCACCGATTAAGTAACATTTTAAAGAATTTCAAGAAACTAAGTCTCTATTTGGCATTTTATCAAACATACTGTGTGTCAACTACAATTCACCAAAAGATCCATACGTTCGAATCAAAACATTTGCTATAAACAAATATCAACTAACACCCAAGTTTTGAAGAGTGAACATGAAATTATCTAACCATAGTGATGTTTGAGGCATAGTTACTAGAAACACAATGAAATATTTTCTCCATGGAATGTGTTAAGTAGAGATCCCAATATCAATGTAAAATTGTAGAATAAGAGAATTTGTGAAGAAAAACGATCAATCAAGAGAGATAAAGAGAAGAAGAATTAAGAAAGACAGATTAAAGAAGAATCAAGAAAAATTTATGATATGATAACAAAGGCACAACGAAAGATTGAAGATGATAGTGAGTTTGTAGACTTTTTAAAATAATAAGATTTATTTAATTAGTTTTTCTATTGTTTAATTTATTAGCTCACCGATTCGTTTTTGAAAATCCAACACACCAATAAACTTCTTCTACAGAACTCACAATCTTTTTTCTTCCATTTTTATCATTATAATTATCAGATTTCACTCAACTCTTGTGATCCACCTCATCATCACCATCGAAATCCTAGCACTCATCAATCACCCAACTGTTCAACTCAAGCATGAACTCGGACTGGCTTTGAATGATAACACCACGAAGAGAGGAGAACCGGCAGATGTGAGAAAGAGACTAGTTTCAACTGAATGGCTAACGGTTATGGTGGGCTTCCTCACTGAGGAGGTGTTGCTGCTATTGTTTGTGGAAAAAAGAGGAAGAACGATAGCTTAAGTTGAAGGGATATTATTGTCATTTTAGATTAATTCTCTCACCTCTCTTTTACTTTTTCACACATTTTAATTGAAAAAAAAAAAATAGACAGAAGGCCTAAATAGTCAAATGGAGGTAAACTTTAGGGACTATTAATTAAGATTGTCAAACTGCAGGGACAAATTAGTTGATTTGATCAAATATCAGAAAGGAAATAACTATTTTTCCTTATTTAATTTATAATTTTTTATTATCTGCTAAGAATGATGCTCACTGTTGTTATTTTAATTCTCAGTAAAAAATAATTGAATATAATAATTAACAAAATATAAGTAAAATTACCAAAACAATTGAAAATTAAATAAAAGTTTGATTTTCTTATCCATTCATGTTCTTTTTTACAAAATTTTAAACTACTAGTGTAAAAGTTATGCCACTGTACATCGATAAATAATAGACATAATGTTTTGACCCAATTAAAATATTAAAAATTATTGGCGAGCAATAGCGGTGGACAAACTTCGGTAATTATTGATTTACTAAGTCGAACTGAAGTTATTCGGTAAAAATGGTTTAGTAAAATGGTAAGCAGTTAGTAACCTTTTTAGAGAAAAATTTGGTGCACGGTAAATGATTCCGTAAAGTATTGAAAAAATTCAAAAATTTTTGCTTTACTGATTTATTCAAAATGGAGTCATTTTAAATTTTTTTTTTTTTTTAAAAAAAAGTCAATCTTCTTATGAGAAATCAACCAATTAAATAAATCGTTCAATAAAATATAAAACTCCATCAATAAATCAATAAATTTTCAATTCAAAATATGTAATTTGTCGATAAATGGTCATATACTAAATCGATAAATCGGTAAACGCAACTTCGGTGAACAGTTAACTGAACCGACCAAATATCCACCCATAGCGAACAAGGCCCTTAAAACGGTGCATTATAAAATATTATCCTTTAACATTTAATTAACGGCTAATACAACAGCTAATATTACCGAAAACGACAAGTAAATTTAATTTTAATACATAAATGTTAGCTCATGAATACTTATTGATTCTGTGTGTGTATATATATACATACACTATTATTGAAGAACTTGTGCTGCACGTATTCCTTGTAGGTATCAGTTATTTAATTCATGGATGTTGCCTCATGAATACTTCTTAATTGTGGGTTGTGTGTACGTATACTAATATTTAAGAATGTGCATTACATGTATCGTTTCTAATTTTAGGTACTCATTATTTAATATATAATTTTTTATCATTTACCAAAAGTTATGCTCATTTTTATTTTATTCTCAGTAAAAATAATTGAACGTAATAATTAATAACTATAAATAAAATTATAAAAACCATTGATAATTAAATAAAATATTTAGTATAATTTGATTTTCTTTCGTACTTATGTTCTTTTCTACAATATTTTAAATACTACTATAAAAGTTTGATAAATAATAGACATAATATTTTGATCTAGTCAAAATATTAAACAATGGATTAAAAAGTATTAACAAACAATAAAAGTAGACAAACTTTGGTAATTATCGATTTACAAAATTGAACCGAGGTTATTCAGTAAAAATGGTCTGGTGAAACAGTATATGGTTGTAAAATTTTTTAGACAAAATTCAATAAGTGGTGAATGATTCGGTAAACTATCCAAAACATTCAGAATTTTTTATTTACTAATTTACACACAACCACATCATTTTTTTTTCTTTTTTAACAAGCCAACCCTTGAATGGTAAATCGAGCGGTGAACAATAA